TCCCCTGTTTCTCAAGCATTTCCGATCCAAATTATCCTTGTAAAAGTACAATCTAGAATAAGGTTGTAGATTGACCCATCCATGGATATGCCAATATTGCAGACAAGTTCGTATGTATTAGCTCTCATGACTAGTCAATTTTTTAGTAAATTTTGATAACAATTGATAAATATGTAATTAAAAAACTTGTGAATCCAATAAAAAAATGAATTTTAGAAAATAGAGATCAAACTTGAGCTAAATTTTATGTGGCTCGATGTAGCACATATATCATTATGGCAAAATTAGGCCCCGTACGGTCCATTTATTACAAAATTGATTAATACACTTCTATATTTTTAAGTTTTCATTAACATTAGTTAACCATACATTTTACTGTTACGAGAAAACCAAATAAGTTGGAAACTAATCTAATCTCACAACTCCTCACGATCCCTACCATTCATTTGATTTTTTTTTAAAGGAATGCGTGGATCGACATGGAAACGAGACACACAAATGAAGAGAATGATTCATTTTTCGTCTTGCCACTCATTACCATACCACATTAATTTTACTATCAATTATTCATGAATTGGTTCCAACCAAGCCCTAGATCTGTTATTTCTTCATGGCGATTTTCAGCCAATATGCTATTGGTCTTTCTGGCGCCATCATCATATCATTCTTCATCATCATGGAAGGTGTTATTTTCGACTCTGATTTCAAGTACGCTATTTGCGCCTCTCGCTAACGTATATTTTTTACTTTTTTGGGTAATATTTATTTGATGAAAAATCCTAGAATCCATTGTGAATTTGTGAATTAAAGGATCGGTTAAGATGTTTTGAATTAAAAAGGATTAAGTTCTGGTTTTTAGTTTTCTTATTTCTAGTCTAGTTTAATCTTTAAAAAAATGAAAAAAAAAAAAAAAGTTTTGGACCTTGTGATTTTTATATAATCGTTCTGAGATCTTGGGTGAAGACATCCATTGCTGCACTTGTATTTATTTAACTCTTGAGTGTATAATTTACATCTTATGTCTATAATTAAAGATTTTAAATTGTTGGCTTAATTTCAACGATTTGAATTGTCATATAGGATTTCTCGTTCGATTATAGTCTTCAATTCATGATATGGATTTTGTTGGGATTATTGTGTATCATTTTGCTCATGAAACTATCATTCTCAAATTCAATTTCTTATTAGAGATGTTATTTGATAATTTTGGTTATTTGCTTTCCTATTAATGAAGATGTTGTATGTTTAATTGTTACGGGATGAATTTGAGGCTGAAATTGAAGAACAAGCAAAGGAAGTTGTGTTGGTGGAAAGGAAGGAAAGTCCCTAGTTCTTCATTTCACGTGTCCCGTGGCAAAGATTATTAGATTTTTCTTTATGGAAACAATTCTTACTAGAAATTCACAAATTTCTGAATTACTATTCTTAATCTTAACTCGGAAGATTTCGATATGATCAGTAACGAAGAGTCCACAACTTTTTTCCCTTGCTTATCGAATTTGTGTCTACCAATTGTATAGAAAAATGATAGATAGATAATGTTCAAAGTATTGAGAGATTTCAGTAGTGCTATTTTGCGATCTAATACAACTATGATGGATTTATAGGTTTCTCACCCAGTCTGAACTTCTAAAATATGTTTCACTCCTAATTTTTTACATTTATTTTCTTAACTCGTCTAGAGGTGTGTGTTTTCCGGTTCATTTTTTTCTGATCTTCCATTGAAGAGTGCATGGCAATGGTACACAATATGGAAGGAAAAGCAAAGGGAAGCCGGTTTTATTGCTATGTATGCAACTTTCTTTGTAACAAAGATGTATGTACAGTCTTGTTTCGGTTAAAGACGGAACATTACAATTGAAAATGACCTATGTATAATTATGAAATTTGGCGATAAAAAATCGTGGGATGCCATGACAAAGATTCTGGGGTTGTTTTTTCATTGATATATGCAAAAATTGGATTAAAGTCGTTAGAACTGCTGAAATAATGTTCATCAATTTTTAGCTAGTGCAGTGACTATGGATTCGTTGATGGTATTGTTTATGAGATTCTTTTTGTTCATTTTAACACATTGATGTTCTGTTTGGGGAGTATTGTGTATTGTTAAGTGTCATAATGCAGTTTTAATTTTTTTTTTTAATTTCATCACTTTTGAGTATTTGTCACTTTTTATGAATTTTTTTTAGTTTTTGAGTGTATTTGTCTTCTTTTTTCTTTTTTTTTTCTATCATTTTTTGAGTATGTGTAACTTTTTTTTTTTAATTTGTTTCATTTTTTAAAAAAAATTTGTCACTTTTTTAGTAATTGTCATTTTTTGAATTTTTATCACTTTTTTTAGTGTTTTCACTTTTTTTTAATCTGTCTTTTTGAAATTTCCACCATTTTTTACTGATAAATATCACTTTTTAATAAAAGTGATACTGTACGTAAGTTTTTAATAAAAAATGATACTAAACTTTTAAAATTGACATTCTGTCACTTTTTAAATTTGCATAATATTTTTTACTTTCAAAAAAATTTTCATATAATTTTTCAAAAGACCCATAATTTTAATGGTATTTTTGTAAGGTGCACTATCATTATGGCATACACAAAATTTTCATCCTTAATTACATCGTTAATTGCGCAAATCATTATTTCTATTCATTTTCATCCAATTTCTCAATAAAAGTTGTGAATGATGAATATACCATCTATTTAAATAAAAAAGAAAAAAGGAAATTATTTTTTTAATTCTTTAATAATTTATTTGGCACTTGTTTGCATTTTTAAAAATTTTTAAATTTTTTAATAATTTATTTGGAACTCGTTTGTACTTTTTAAAAAATTTGGGACTATAATTGCAATTGATTCTTTTTTTTTATTTAAATTGGAGGGTATATTTGTCATTTTATAGCTTTATAGAGAAATTTGATGAAAATAGATGGAAATGATAGTTTGCACAATCAAATATGCAATTAAGGGTGAAAATGTCAAAAATTTAAATATATGAACGTTTTTCATAATAATAGTGAAAAGCAGAGACATTATATGCTAATTATCATTTTACTAATTTATTTACAACTCAGTTGCACTTTTTAAAAATAAAATAAAATTAGGACTACGATTACAATTAGTTATTTCTTTTTCTTTTTGTTTTATTTAAATATAAAGGCATATTCATTTCGCAGCTTTTAATTGGAAAAACTGTTGAAAATGACCTTTTGCATAATGAAAAGTGGAAATAAAAATAAAAATGCCAAAAAATGAAAATGTAACAATATTTTTCACAATAATAACATTTATTAATTGCTTATATTCTATTAAGGGTAGTCCTTCTTCCAGGTGAGCCGTCAGTGTTACGACCCCTTTCAAAGCTGATTAAACCCCGTATTCCTTGAACGGTAGTAGTAGGGGATATTGCCATTCTATAATATAAGATAATATCGGAGTCTAAGGGCAAAAGATTTAGTACGATGTCTCGAGCATGATAGTTGCGCTCCCTTCCTCTCATCAGATTGGAAGTAATTGCCTCGTTGCTTTCGGTTGAAATTTATTCCATTATTCTTATATGAACGTTGATTGACAAAAGAGGAAGAAAGAAAAAGAACCATTCGAATCCATTGGGCAATCATAAGAGTTTTAACTCTTTAATCGCAACTCAAAACTTGAAATTAAGATATTTTGATTTGAAATAGTTCAAAACGCGTTGCAAAACGACTTATAAAACAATTGATACAGTTTGAATCCTTAACTCACAACTAAAACAACAGTCATCTTTGTTGCTTATGCTTCATATAAACACAAACAAACTAAAACAACAATTATCTTTGTTCACCTCAACTGTTCTTATCCAGAATAGGTCCTTTTCAAGCGGTCCCAACGTGGCCATGTTTGGGGTACCATTTCAAAGTGGAAAACCATGCTTCAAGACCTTCCAGAGACAGTGCCAAGACTTTTCGTTCTCATTCAACTTTTCCTCCCACAATTGTTGATTGACATGTTGTCTTGGAATATTTTTGGCTAAGCTTACATAAGAGAAAATAGAATTTTTTTTCATTTGTAGAGAAGTAGGATTCACAGAATTTTGACAAACAACTCAAAGTGCGTGGGGGCCATCCAAATAAGAAATGGTCAAAAAATAAGACTCTCCCTTTATGAGGTGTTGATAGGGGTTCACAGAACCCCTACCTGTACACCTACCAGGGTTGGAGAAAATATACTATGCCCTAGTTTTGTAGAAATTTAAATGTAAATTTTAATCAAAGTTAAAGTCAATAATTAATTTCAACTACATATTTTTATAAGACTCACAACTTTTTAACCAAACATTTTCATCGATTTTTATCAAAATCTACTAAAAATTTTAATTTTAATTTCCACCTAACAGATACTATAAGTAAATAAGTTCTTCAAAAACTGCTGATAAAAGTAAAAATTAAGTTATTTCTCACTTTTAAGCAATTCGAAACTTTTAGTACCTCCTCCTTGTGTCTCACATTATAAACAAGCAATAGACTAACAATCATGAAATGGAATTACACCAAAGAGAAAGCATATTACTTATTAGGTAATTATTGTTAGGTCCACTTTATTACCTATTAATCATATCGTACAATTGTTATAGAGATCATGCAATATGTAGATTGAAAAGTTTCACATATAATGGTTAGATGGCCAACAACATATTTTTGCATAAATAGTTCCATTTATAGTCATAACAATAGGAAATTTGCCATCATATATAAATTGTGCACAATAAGTTTATGGATGCATATTATCTTGATTTCACATTACAATAATCATAGGTAACTATGGCTAGAAACGGATGGGCAAAATTCACGTGTCGAGTATTAAATACGACAAGCCAGGCCGCTCGTCTCTCCCCACAAGCTCACCTCTGGGTGGCGAACCTAGTCAATTGTGGACCGTCATGTTTTTATTTTATTTTATTTTTAATTAAAATTTCTCAATTTGACAATTTGTTGGCGAGTCTGCTTGCACACGAGCCAACGAGCTAGCATATCACATACATCTAAATTGACCAGCCAATTTCCAAAACATGTCCGAACTGAAATACCATTCTCCTCACAAACATAAATAATGATCTCAACTTTAGACAGTGATTTGCTAAAGATGTAACACTATCATGAAAAAAACTAATAGCAATGTGGCAGTTACTCTGAGTCTTCTATTTCAAAAGCAGGAACTCTTCGGAAACATGCTAAGCGTTCAAAGTAAGATGTATCCCTATTACGCGGAATTATCGACCTCTTTCTCTTTTGAGAGAATCCTTGCCCAAATGTTGCATCAGACAGTAGCCCCATACCGCTTTCTTTATTAACAATGCTACTTTCTTCTGCAAATCTGCAAAATCAGCAAAGAAACTGCAGGATTAATACACATACATACTGGTCGCATGAAGGCAGTAGTAAAACAGAACATTGAATCTGGTGAAATAGCACCACCTATCGATCCTATACAAGAGTTAGGATACATCTTCGTGTTGACGTATGTACCATCAATTCTTGGAATCGAGTTAACATGTTTGGATTGAAAATTTACTCATAAGTAAGCTTAGCCAAACATGCTCAAGTTCATGTCCAGATAGAGGCAATTCATCACATCCCGACAGCCAGCGTCGGATTATATCATGTGGCAAGCTTTAATGGAGTGAAAAAAAGTCCATGCTTAACCAACTTCTGCTTCAAGGTTTTCTACTACAGCTGCAGTTCCAGGTATCATGAACTCTCAGGCGAGGGCAACAGCTTCTGTAACGACTCAATTATTTTTAAAATTATATTGAGAAATAAATCGGGTTTAGGATATATTTATTATGAAAATCATTTAGCTTGCTCTTATATCAGATTGTTATCTGCATGTGTTTATGTTAATGGCACGATTTAAACAAAATCTCAACGTGCAACTTGGTTGGATATGGAGGGTGCCACATGAACATGGGTGCCTTGGAACAACCAATGTATAGACACTAGCAAAAGGGCAAATCAACACTCACCTTTCACGGATGATCTTGAATGCTTCTTTTGTTGCATAAGGTAATCCAGTCATTGGATCGCGGTAGCTGCATTACCCACATTACAGTAACAATATAAGAAATAACATTCATACTTTATATGCATTAAATACCTAATTACAGCACAGAGAATACAATAAGCATATAGAAACTTGCGAGACAGAACATGGAAATATGACGTCAAAGATCTAGGACAGGAATACAGAGACACTTTACATGCCTTGTACTTTCAACAAAAACAATTCAACTTGTACTTGATTCATCAATGAAATAATATGCAGATGCCGTAGTACTAGTACAACTGTGAATTCAGTATAAAACAAGTGAAGGAGCAGTGAGAGAAGAGAAGTCATTTAGCAGAGACATGCTAAGAGATATAATTTAAGATATATGCTCATCAAAAAAGTAGAAGAAAATGGCAAACAGTGGCTAATGTTAAGAACTCATTAAAACATAAGCAGTAGTTAGTTCATACAGATACTCAAAATCTTACTTTGCAGGCAGACCGGTAACAGCACACAAAGCCTTCTGTGGATCTGAAAAGAAGAAAATAGGTAAAATCATTCTCTAAGAATCAGAAGCACAAGGATCAGGAACTGCACACAGTCTTCTTTTTCCTTTATTTAAACTATTTCACTTTAAATACAATTCATAGATACTCAAGAGAAAACAACCAAAACAAACAAGGTAGATCTTCGTGGCAATCCATTCAAAGATAAATTAGAACAAAATGAATATGATCGGTTTGTTTATATTACCAATCCTCGCTAAAGAAAATCACAGAACAATGCATTCAACTTTGGCAAGAAAACTGTAGATCAGATACATACTATAGATAACAAGAGAACCTGGTTTGCATATTCCATATTGCAGATAGGCAGTGCAAGAGAAAGTGCTTATATTTTAAAAGCAAGCGATATGAAAACAACAGACAATCGAAACATACCAGGTTCAATATTGCAAATTCCTTCCAAATCTCTACATTCGTCTACTTGCATGTTAGTGCAATGTATTTCAGCTATCATTTAAAATGTGATACAGTGACTAACAATCAAGTATCATGATACTAAGTTACATGTTTTATGCAAAGTATGACCGTGATTGGAAAGTTAAGAACATAAAACATACATGGAGTAGCTTTTGTCAAGACCTCTGAACCAAATGATGCTCCATTGACAAATTCCAGATAAGAATAACCTGTAATGAACATGCAAATTCATTTAATATTTTCCAAACATAATTTTAAATAAGAAATGAAATGTGGTCGAAGGCACTATTGTCCTGTGGGACGGAAAACATTTAGAGGTTTCAAGTGAAGAAAGAAAGCTTGCCATTTCTAGAAAGATATCGTATCTGGGGGCCACTGTAAACTGCTTTGTGCACTACGGCCCTTTTCTTAACTTCTTCCTCTCTTGCTAACACCCGTTCCAAGTTTCTCAAATTCATAATTTCTGCATAAGATTTTCATGACATTCAGTTAAAATTAAAGGGTCAGTAATGAGAAAATCAAGCGAGCTAATAATTAAAACTTCCAAACATATTTTAACAAACTAAACACCATCTTATAGAGGAATGTCATGGGTAGAACCTGTTTGAGCTGCTTCTAGAAGCATCTCTTCTTGGGTCATCCTCTTCTCCTCACCTTCCTTTTTCCTTTTTATTGGCTGACAATTGAAAAGACGTTAATATTGGGCCAGATAACTGCATATCAGTACTTCTTTTTCACTTCTTTACAGATGCTAGCAATGTCATGTTAAAAGTTCTCAGAAAGTAGATAAATTGCTAATTAAGTGAATAAACTCGACAAGTTACACATTAATGAAGTGCTGTTACTGAAACCAATTAATAATGTCAAAAAGAATAAAGAAGATGGGTACCTATGCTAGATCTTAATGAGAACAGAGATTAACATTTCTATATCTACTCAGCACACAAAATCTCGAGTCTGATTTTGGTTGAATGAAGTCTAAGTGTCTGACAGATGTTACAACAATGTGTATCACATTTATGCCACTTGCAAACATATTTCAGAAGTACAATGATGCAACATTGATGATGGCAATACATTCACAGGTTATAGCATTAGCAAGAATGGTGTAGGCTACAAAATTCGTCTGGAACTATGTTGTAAACAAGTTCATTATTTCTTGCAAACAAGTTCATTATTGTTCATTATTTCTTGTAAACAAGTTCATTATTTCTTTAAGGGGAAGGTCAATCCTTAATCATGGTCCACAGAGTAAGACTTGTTTACACTTTACAGTATTTCCAAAATCAAAACCCCAGTCCAGAGAACTTGGAGGAAACTGCACAACAGAATTTTAGAATGGAAGTACAGTAGAACTGAAATATACAATGTGTTCCAAAGCACGGAATTTATTAGCTCTTCGAAGTGCTTTTTATTACTTAAGTAGAATTCTCCAAACAGCATTTGCAACATTTTTTTCAGATGAACTTCTTACCATATTTTACGCAGTGTGGGTAGAATAAGGTGAAAAAGAAGTTAATTCACCATCTAAAAAATCTATTTACTTGAATTTTTTTTGGATAGTAAAATGTAAATTAGTATTAGTATAGTATCATAGAAAAGGGAGAGCAAATACCCGAGGAAAAACATTCTCAAAGCACAAAAGACAGTCAAGATAAATATCAAAGAATAAAATGAGTATCCAACTTCATTGTAAATGGTGTTGCTTAAGGTACTAATTTTATCAACTGTACAGGGTAATATCAACTGGACATGTATGGTTAAAGGTTTGGACGCTAATTTACAGGAAAGTCCAAAGATTGATCAGCTCTATGAATCAGCTGACATTCTTATGCCATACAAATTTGACGACATAGGCATACAAATTTGACGATATATATGGAGAGTGAACTTAATCTTCTTCTTGAAGAGGCCAATATGTTACTTAAGAGAAACTGGAATATAACAATCTCAGTACAAACGGTTGTCTAAAGGATCTTAATACATTGAATTGTCCCAAGAGATAAATGTATGGAATTTTTTCCAACATCTGATGAGGTTTTTTATCCAGTGATAAAATCCTAGGCTTACTATACATAATTAAAATGGAGAGATGACTATATTTCTATCTTAATTCACATTTTAAAAATATTTTCTCTTATCAAAATTCTTTTGGTAATAATGCCTTTCGTTTTTTTATCTCACCTTCCTATGAAAGAGATTAACTATGATAGATATGTGATTCATAAATTAAAAAACACCTAGTTAAAAATATAAAAAATATCATGGAACTTTTGAAATTAAAAGACTGAAATTAGTGAGATGCATATTGCCAATGAAAGATCCACAGAAGTCCTATTCACATTAGATGAAGAAAGAAATGAGCATCTGCATAAGTTATTACTTAATATACCTTTTGGGAGATGCGACATAAGCATGACCCCTACCTTTTATTTATTGAACTAGAACTTATATGCAACAGATATGTAAAATTATATACATCAAAAGACATTACTCAGCTTTATCAGGGGACTAAATAAATGAATAGCATTCACAATACCTTCATCGTAGCTTGCAGTGCTGCACGTATTGCATCCCTTTCAGCTTGCCTAACAATCACAGAAGTTCTAGTTGATTTCCTAATTATTCGCTCTCCTTCAACATCATCGGGAACATCATGATGTTCAGAAGGTGTGGACTGCTCCAGGGTTTTGTCATTTTGTGGTGATGTTTCTATCTTAGACAGTACTTTCTTTTTCTTCTTTGTTGATGGTTTTCCTGGAAATATTAATCGCTTTTTGGTCCTCCTGTTTCAGAAAAGGTAACATATATGAAGCCATAACAATCTAAAAAGGCCATTTTGATTGACGAAGAGAAGTCAAACCTCTCGTCTGGTTCATTTTCCGCTTCTTCGTCTGCATCAGGTTCCTGAAACCATATTGAAGTATAAGTCAAGTGAAATTTTAAATGCAATTGGTGTCAGAAGGAGCTATACAATCAGGAGAAGTTATCTGCATATACCATAAAAATCAGAACATAACCTCAGAAGCATTGAACTTACATCTTCATCAAAATCGCTGTCAAAGACATCAGCAACGTCTGCTTCTTCTTTATATTCTACATCATTCTCTTCCTGAGAAAAAACTCAACACAGTGAACAACCTACAAACTGAAATGTAAATTTATTTAATTTACATAAGAAAATCTGATGTTGGCTCTGCGTGATATTTTCATGCGGCCACAAGACAGGGAGCTCTTCAAAACGTAAACATAAACAGCAACTATTTATGTCTGTATTGAGTCAAAACATTTTCAGCATAACAATGCTATTGATTTGCATTTCGTTCTTTTCGTCAGCTGTCACGGCTGTCAAATTATCGTGGTAACTTTGCAAACTAACTCAAATATTGTCGGTACAATAGAAAGATATAGAAATAATGGGTACGGTACAGAAAATGCAAGTTTTTTCACCCAAAAAAAAAAAATAAATAAATAAATAAAACAACGAAATTACATAGCACCTCTTTGAGAGCATCTTGATTCCAGAAGGTCTCATCCTCTTCATTCTCCTCATCAAGCAACTTTGTCATGCTGTCAAAGTAATTTCAACAATTCACTTTCATTTCAATCAAATCGTGTATGTGCATACTTTATTTGGCATAAAAAAAATATTAGTACTCAAAAGGTACATACACTTGACTTACCGTTTCCCTCTGGTTACCCGAGAGGTACGATCAAGAAACACATGCTGCTGAGTCTCTTCTTTGCTGTTCTCCATTGTGTTTCTCTCCACCCCCACAAAACTAACAAATTCCACAGACCCTTTTTAAAATCTGTATACTAGCAATTTTTTTCCAAGTCTGTATTCTTCTTATGATGCGATCAACCCATTAAAGCATTTCATCGAACATGTAATGGGCAATTTCAAGAACATGCCAATTACACTACAACCGTGTTCAATCCAGCAAAACCAGATAAAGAACCGTTTTTTCTTGTTTACTTCTTCACTTCTAATACTCTTCCCTTACAAAATTTATGCTTCGAAATTGGGTGGAAATATTTTTTTTCCCTGGGAGGAGCCGGTTGTAGATGATTTTGCAGTGAACTATCAATTAACAATGAAATACAAGAAAAAGAAAACCAAGAAGAAGAACGGGAATGGCCGTTTTCCTTTTGCTTCGGCTCGAGCCAGTCAGCTAGCCCAATAAATAAAGCTTTTGTCTCACGAGGTTTGGACTTGGCGTGGGGCGGGGGTGTGGGAAAAAGATTTGGGGTCACATTTTTATTTTATTTTTTCATTTTCCTTTTTATTTATCTTTTCTTTTATTATTATATAGAATCGAGCTATATGTACAGGCACTTTTACTGGGTGTTTGCATGCATTTTAAATTTGATGATGTGGTAGTTCATTAAATAAAGGAAAGGACAGAGAAAAGAGGGAGGGAAAATCTATAGTTACCTCAAATTGGAGAATGGTGAAGCGGAAGCGCAAAACACGACCATGCTCAAAGAACTCCAGCCATCTTTCGACGGAAATCGCAAAAAATTGTGTTGTCTCATGCATCAAGCGTAGCCCGAGCATATAGCTTCAACCTCCGGTGTTGGAGAGACCTGAAAATTCTCTTCCCACTGAATTCCAAAGCCCTGAAAAGTCCATCTCAGACGGTTTATTCAGGCTAAAATCACGACTGCCCAGCCATATAGCTTACACCTCCGTTGTTTTCTTATTGTAGCAAAATGTTTTTATTTATTTAAGTTGGATTTTTAGCTCTCCTCATATTCTGTGTTTTATCCCATGTATGTGAAAGTTGTTGGATCTCAAAATGAAGTATTCTTCTCAAATGCCTCAAGTTATTGGTATGCAAGAGAGCCTTGCAGCATCAACTTGGAAAATTGGTGTAGAAGAGATATCACTTGGTTTTTAAATCTGCTGATTTTGGAAAATTTGTGAAGCTCCGCATTGTTCTGTCACTTGGTTTTACTGGAATCTATTTTTGAATTAGTTTTCCACTTGCTTATAACATGTGAAAGTGCTAAATTTTGGAAACTTGGTTATATTCAATAATTCAAGCATTCACCCTCAACATAAAATGCAAAACTCAAAATCCATGGTGAGAATAAGAAATACTGATGCCAAAGATAATAAAAGGAACACAGTTTACACCCATTTTCCATTATCAAATACACATTACAATAAACTGGAAGGAGAGGTGTTTTTCAGTGGTGGTTTGGCGCCCGCGGAGGACATCAAGGTTCGCTTCCTTTAAATATGGGTTGGTATGTTTGGGTAATGCTTCTACGGTGCTTTCTTCACTTGTTTTGCACCGGCCGGAGGTGGAGATGAATCCGGTAGTTTTGTCTTGTCGTTGTGAACAGAGGCGATGGCTTTGGGGACAGAAAAAGGGACGCAAGATCATATTTCAATTTGGGGGTTTTATTTATTTTCCAATGCCACGCGACCCTGTGAAACGCCTGTGAAGTGCACCCTGTACGTGTAGCGTGATCGTATTATATATTCAAATTAAGGCACAAGTAGAGATGGCAAAATATCTCGATTCACAATTCGAAGTCACGAAATGTCCAATCTCGAATGGGATAAGGATTTCATGGTTATCTGGAGAATTGGGAGGGGGACTCTTCATTTATTTATTTTAGTTAAATTTTATTCTTTAAAATAAATAATTAAATATGAAATCAAGATGGAAATTAAGGATATTTTAATCCTTAACTCGCCTCTCAAAAAAATTTTGTTGAGTGGAAAAATTTATGTCCCAACTCCGTCCAACTTTGTTGCCATCCTAAGTATAATAGTCATTTTAATTTGAATTTTTAATGATCTAATTGATCTATCCATTGTGGAGGCGCACAAAGTTCTCGTAAGTTGAGGATCCAAGATGTCACAAATAGAAGATCGAGGATCCATCGTCACCAAGATGTCACAAATAGAAGATTGAGGATCCATCGTCACAAGGCTCAAGGGTTAGAGACCCTAGCTAGAACATTCCATTTCTTCCTAACAATATAACTAATTTTTTCCTTTTTTCTTATTTGTTCCAAGTGAAATTGAATTGGTATGCACCCTTGTTCTTTTTTGGTATAAACTAACTTACTACATATTGTTCCTCTTACTTTCATCAAAATAAGTCACTGTTTTGATTAGTTTAAAAATTAGATCTTTAATAAATTTTAATAAAAAAAACGAAGATTTACACGAAGAGTTTCAAGATTTCATAACCCGGTGATGGCTTTTATCCAAAATTTGATGTATTCATTTATTTTAACCATGTTAGGCTAGATTTTTATGTGCTAGGAGATCGATGTACCATGTAATTTTATCTTTAATTTTCTAATTTTGCAATTTGACATTAAGACATATTTCTATTGTTTTGAATGATTTATATGCAATTATTGTTTTTATAATTAAGGGCTCGTAATTGTGTGAGTTTGGGTGATTTATTCTTGCATTCGAGAGAATTGGAATAAGTTCGACATAATATAAATCATCGTGGGTCCGATAGGGGGATAGAAATATACCGCTATGCCCTACGTGAATCTTTAAGTGTTCATAAAATCGCATGCATTTTTACATATGCACTTGTCATAGAAATATAGGTCGGTGGTATGTAGAAATAGGTTCAATACATCTTGAGAGAGAGTATTGGGTAGATTTAGGAACATTGATTCGTCACAATTGAAGTGTGTTGTCACATTGTGAAATTAGGGTTTTAAAGTGATAATTGCATGGGAAATTGTGATCCTAGTGTGTTTAATTTCTATTAATTACAACAAACGTGCGTTCTCAACATTTGATTTCATTTTAGAGTGTTAAAAATATTGTTTTACATATTTAATTTAATTCAATCATAAAAATTGCATAATTAGGGTTTTCTTTCCAAAATTTGGGTTTTAATTAGGTTCACACTCACTTTAGAAATTTAGTTTCAGTTAAGGCGACGATAGGTAAAATTGAACTAATCAATCTCTGTGGGACAATATTTGGACTCATTTAATTCACTTTATTACTTGTTAACGAATCGTACATTTGTGGTAGTTTTAAATCGAAAGAAATAATTTCGTGAACAAGTTTTTGGCACCGTTGTCGAGGATTGAGTTTAGTTTAATTTTATTTCTCAAGACACTACTTTGAACTTCAATTTTTATTTTGCTAGTATAATTTTGTTTTTATTTTTATTTTACGATATTATCCTTTATCTGTGTTTTAGTTATTTAAATTGTTTGAATCTCAGTGCTCGTACTGGTTTTGTTTCTCAGATTTGCATGCCACGATCGACTGGAGGAGAATTGATTCCAGGTGATCCTAAAATCGAGCGCACCTTTCATCGACTACAAAGAGATCACTAAGAAGCACAAGTACAAAAGGCTAACGAACTAAACAATCCCATTATTCGAGCTAATGAAGGAGAGGCAATGGACGAAGGAAATGAGGTTCTGGGAGATTTCTTGACTCCTCAAGTAATTCAAAATCAATCCAGCATAGTGTATCCAACGTTTTGGCAGCCAAATTTCCAGTTAAAGACCAATGTGATACAGCTATTTCAAAATGAACACCAGTTTTATGGCAAAGTCGAGGAGAATCCACATACACACATATCTCAATTTTTGGATATGTGTTAACATTTCAGATACCAAGGGATTTTGGATGACGCTATTAGGCTAAGGCTGTTTCCACATATGCTACGAGACAGAACACTTGAATGGTTGGATTCACTTCCAGTTGCAAGTATCACTACATGGAATGAGTTGACGCACAAATTCTGCACAAAGTTTTTCTCCCCAGCCAAGATAGCGAAGCTGAGACGTGACATATCAGTATTCAGTCAAGGAGAAATCGAATCATTTGACGAAGCTTGGAACAGATTCAAAAACATGCTCCGGAAGTGCCCTCAACATGGGTTTGATAAAATCCATACCACAAGAGCATGGTGGATTCAACGTGAGGTGGCTCAATATCCACACGAACAGTTGATGGGGCATTGGAATTATTTGAGAGAATGGCTACCACATCAACCATGTGGTCTTTTGAGAGGGAGATTCCAAGGAAAACACCGCGTGTGTACGGATACTTATTCAGCAATATCTGCAAAAATCGACTCTCTGTATCACAAGGTGGAAAGCATATCACAAGCAGCACAAGCTAAGAAGAGCAATTGTGAGAAATGTGAAACTCAGCATAAAACATTGGAATGCCCAATACTCATGCAAGGAATTGAGCAAGCAGACTATGCACAGTGGGGACAACGCCAACAACACAATCAATATGGAGAAACTTTCAATCCCAATTGGAAGAAGCATCCCAACTTTTCTTGGAGCAACCAGAATCAAAATAGGCCACAGGGACAATTTCAACAACAAGAGAAGAGGCCTCAATTGGAAGATATGATAGAAAAATTCATGGAGAAAGTCGAAACTACACTTCAAAATCAAAATGTAGCCATCAAAAATTTGGAAACTCAGATGGGATAGTTGGCCATCACATTGACTGGCAGAACGCCAGGTAACTTGCCGAGTAACACAGAAATCAATCCTAAAGAGCAAGCTAAGGCCATTACAATAGAAAGTGGAGTACAATTGCCTGAAATCCATGTCAAGAGACCGGGTGTGATTGGAGAGACATCTTCCCCTGCTGAAGAAGAAACTATTGTAAAGGAATCAACTCCAAAGGAAAATTCAGAAAAGTCACAAGATAAGACCAAAGTCACAGTCAACCCATACAAGCCTCAGATTCCCTTTCCACAGCGGTTGAAGAAGCAAAAATTGGAGCAACAGTACAGAAAATTTCTAGAAATCTTCAAAAAGCTCCATATCAACATCCCACTAGCCGATGCACTATTACAGATGCCTAGCTACACGAAATTTCTCAAAGATGTTATATCAAACAAACACAAGCTAGAGGACCATGAGACATAATGCTTACAGAGGAATACAGTGCCAGAATCCAGAAGAAGCTCCCACCAAAACTGAAAGATCTAGGGAGTTTTAATGTTCCTTGTACTATTGGTGAAGTCTATTTCGATAAAGCATTATGTGACCTCGGTGCAAGTATTAATTTAATGCCTCTGTCTATTTTTAGGAAGCTCGACTTGGGAGAAGCTAAAGTGACTACTGTGACACTTCAGCTGGCGGACAAGTCACTGACACATCCCAGAGGGATAATTGAAGACGTTCTTATCAAGGTTGAAAAGTTCATATTCCGAGCGGATTTTCTTATCTTGGACATGAAAGAAGACAAGGATGTCTCATTGATACTTGGTAGACCATTTCTGGCAATAGGGAGAGGAGCAGATATCGTTCAATGTATTCAAGGCCATAAAACTGCCAGCAGAATCAGATAGCTGTTACCAAGTTGACAACATTAACAAGGCAATACAAGAAACATTCTTATTTCACGGCCCATCTGACCCCTATGAAGCATGCATTGCACAATCCTAATCGGATCAGTCAGATTCTCTTGAAGTTGAAACATGTGCAAGGTTTTTGGAGACCAACTTGCCATACACCCGAAAGAGGCAGTTCAAGGAACTGTGGACGGGAAATACAAAGCTACTGTCTTCCATTTAGCAACCGCCAGTTTTAGAACTTAAGCAACTACCACCACATCTCAAATATGCATATTTGGGAGAGTTAGATACACTTCCAGTAATCATTTTGAACACAGTCAGTGAGGTGGAGGAAAAAAATTGCTCAGTGTACTCAGAGAAAACAAGATGGCGATTGGGTGGACAATAGCTGACATTAAAGGGATTAGCCCTTCCCTGTATATGTATAAAATTCTAATGGAAGAAAATTGCAAGCCAAGTATAGAGGGTCAGAGAAGATTGAATCCAAACATGAAGGAAGTAGTCAGGGCAGAGATACTAAAATTACTGGATGCAGGAATTATTTACCCAATTTCAGATAGTGCATGGATCAGTCCAATTCAAGTGGTGTCGAAAAAAGGGGGAATCACAGTGGTAAAAAATGAGAAGAATGAATTAATTCCTATCAGAACAGTTACGTGATGGAGAGTTTGCATCGATTATCGCAAACTCAATTCAGCTACACGAAAAGATCACTTCCCACTCCCATTCATTGATCAGATGTTGGAGAGATTAGCTGGACATTCACACTGTTGCTTCCTTGATGGATACTCGGGCTACAATCAGATACCTGTTGTACCAGATGATCAGGAGAAGACCACTTTCACTTGCCCCTACGGTACTTTTGCTTATCATAGGATGTCTTTTGGTCTTTGCAACGCTCCAGCCACATTTCAGAGGTGTATGTTGGCAATATTCTCCGATATAATTGAAAGGTTTATTGAGGTTTTCATGGACGACTTCTCAGTGTTTGGATCTTCATTCGATGAATGTCTAGAACACCTAAATTTGGTCTTAGAGAGATGCAAGGAAACTAACCTGGTTTTAAATGGGGAGAAATGCCACTTTATGGTGCAGGAAGGCATTGTACTCAGGCATCGAATCTCGGCAAAAGGAATTGAGGTGGACAAGGCAAAAATTCAAGTTATTGAGAAGTTACCACCGCCTACATCAGTTAAAGGAGTTCGTAGCTTCTTGGGGCATATGGGGTTCTACAGGAGATTTATAAAAGATTTCTCTAGGATCACTAAACCGTTATGTAATATGCTAATGAAAGACATAACATTTGAGTTTAATGAGGAATGTCTCACAGCATTTAACACTTTAAAGGAGAAGCTCATGACAACACCAGTAATTGTGGTACCAGACTGGGAACTGCCTTTTGAATTGATGTGTGATGCCAGTGATCACGCCGTGGGTGTAGTATTAGGACAGCGGAGGAATAAGATTTTTCATGTGATCTACTATGCAAGCATAACTCTAAATGATGCGCAAATCAATTATGCTACCACTAAAAAGGAGCTGTTGGCCGTGGCATATGCATTCGACAAATTCAGATCATACTTTGTCGGGTCTACAATCATCGTCTACACAGATCATGCTGCATTGAAGTATCTGCTCACAAAGAAGGATGCAAAGTCGAGATTGATTCGTTGGGTGCTGTTGCTGCAAGAATTTGATATCGAGATACGAGACAAGAAAGGCAGTGAGAATGTAGTGGCGGTCCCGATTAGAGCTTAAGGAGATAGAAGAATTAGTGGACATCAATGAGATCTTCCCAAATGAGCAGATGTTGAGAGTAGATGAAGCACCTTGGTATGCAGATATCGTCAATTACTTGGCCAGTTCCTTCCTACTGCCGGACTACTCAAGTCACCAGAGGAAAAAGTTCTTCTCCGAATTAAAGTATTATTTCTGGGAGGATCCAATTCTCTATAGGCGAGGGGCTGATCAGATAGTAAGGAGATGCATACTTGAGGAAGAAGTACATGAGATTTTTGAGCACTGCCACTCATCTGCATATGCAGGGCACTTTGGGGCTTCAAAAACAGCTACAAAAATTCTACAATCAGGGTTCTACTGGCCTAGACTGTTTAGAGACGCCTTTGAGTTTGTCAAGAGGTGTGACATATGTCAACGTACTGAAAATATCTCGAGGATGAATGAAATGCCACTGAATAACATTTTGGAAGTGGAGATATTCGATGTGTGGGGAATTGACTTTATGGGACCTTTTCCCCCCAGTACATCTTGGTAGCAGTGGACTATGTGTCAAAATGGGTGGAAACGATTGCAATGCCAACAAATGACTCAAAGGCAGTAATTGGGTTCTTGAAGAAATATATTTTCATCCGATATGGTACACCGCAAGCTATAATAAGTGACGGGGGCAAACACTTCTGTAATCGCCAGTTTGAGCAGCTATTGAATAAATATGGCGTTAAACACCGTGTTGCTACCCCATATCATCCACAAACCAGCGGGTAAGTTGAAGTATCTAATCGACAGTTGAAGAGAACACTCAAGGTCACAATGAACTCATCTAGAAAGGACTGGTCTAAAAAGCTGGACGATGCATTGTGGGCTTACAGAACGGCATTTAAGACACCGATAGGCATGTCTCCATACCGCCTAATCTTTGAAAAAGCGTGCCATCTGCCACTAGAAATAGAGCACCGGGCATATTGGACTATGAAACAGCTAAATATGGACTTGAGTACCGTCGGTGAAAAGTGCCTACTGCAACTTAATGAGTTAGATGAATTTAGAATGAAAGCTTATGAAAATTCAAAACTCTACAAGGAACGAACCAAAAAGTGGCATGACATGCATATTCAGAGGCGAGAATTCGAAGTGGGGCAGCAAGTGCTATTGTATAATTCAAGACTCAAGTTGTTCCCAGGAAAACTACAATCACGGTGGACTGGTCCTTACACTGTCATGAAAGTCCTACCATATGGGGCTATACAAGTCAGCCATCAGACTAAGGATACCTTCATTGTTAATGGGCAAAGGCTGAAACACTACTGGGGTGGTGACTTCTCCAACCAAAAGTCCACCGTTCAACACGGGACGCCAGAATAAAGCAGCTGCAGAAGAGTCGAGCTATCGACTATAACCTAGTGTTGGGTGGGAAGCAACCCACTGTATCCTTTTCATTACTTTTAATTTTTGCATTAGCTTAGAAATTTTTAATTTTCACGTCTGATTTTTTAAGGTTTTGGTCATCGATCATCCATGCATGTCAATCGAGTCTAAGCACTACCCACACGGGTCCCTATTCATAGAGCACAAGTTAGGAATAATTGATTTAGTGTTTAGATAATTGGATGTGAACATCACGCATTTCGAGGTAGAAAGTATGTTTTTCAAAGTACTTCGGGGATCAAAAGGGTGACTTCAATTTTTTTTAAAAAAAAGTGATTTTGGGAACTAACTCAATGACCTACTCGTGCCCCATATGGTCTAATGTGTTTTGATAAATTTTAGAGGATGATGAAAGGCCAGTTCGAAGTCACAAGTTGAAAACCAAGAATTTGGGGGAAAATTTGGTCAAGATTGAATTTGGGGAATCAATTGTGTTCTAAAAAAAAAACTTCACGTACATTTAGTTTAAAAAAAGGGGGGGTTAGTCTATGCGGCCACATAGATGTGGGGTTAGTCTATGCGGCCACATAGATGTGGTCAAGGCCAAAATTGGCCCTGACCCTTATCTCTATGCGACCGCATAGACTTACTCTATGTAGTCGTATAGAGCAAGCCAAGGAAAAATTTTTTTTTACTTTAAAACACATACTCACACACAACTCTCATTTCCCTCTCCCCCCCTTCGTTCTTCTCTCCTAATTCCTCTCA